TCCTCTCCTCTCCGTGACAGGCGTGCCTTCTCCGTGACAGGCATGTCCTCTCCCTGACAGGCATGTCATCTCCGTGACAGGCGTGTCCTCTCCCTGACAGGCATGCCTTCTCCGTGTAAGGCGTGCCTTCTCCGTGACAGGTTTCCCTTCTCCATGACAGGTGTGTCTTCTCCGTGACAGGCGTGTCCTCTCCGTGTAAGGCTTCCCTTCTCCGTGACAGGCGTGCCCTCTCCATGTAAGGCGTGCCTTCTCCGTGACAGGCGTGTCCTCTCCGTGACAGGCGTGCCTTCTCCGTGACAGGCATGTCCTCTCCCTGACAGGCATGTCTTCTCCGTGACAGGCGTGTCCTCTCCGTGACAGGCGTGCCTTCTCCGTGTAAGGCTTCCCTTCTCCGTGACAGGCGTGCCCTCTCCATGTAAGGCGTGCCTTCTCCGTGACAGGCGTGTCCTCTCCGTGACAGGCGTGCCTTCTCCGTGTAAGGCTTCCCTTCTCCGTGACAGGCGTGCCCTCTCCATGTAAGGCGTGCCTTCTCCGTGACAGGCGTGTCCTCTCCGTGACAGGCGTGCCTTCTCCGTGTAAGGCTTCCCTTCTCCGTGACAGGCGTGCCCTCTCCGTGACAGGCGTGTCCTCTCTGTGACAGGCTTCCCTTCTCCATGAAGGCCAGGCCTGACCCTACGTTCTTTACTCCAGCCGCCAGCTCACCTGGTCCCTGACACTCAGAAAGAGAAGCTCCGTGTGGCTTCCCTCCACTGTCTTCTCCTGAGAGTCCCTCGGACAGTGGCCCCTGGTCACGCTCAGTGACACGGGGAGTTCGGGAAGGAGCCAGCGCACAGGACTGACTTTCTCTGCGTGTTGAGCGCCTGTGGGCCAGCCTCTCTCCATCTCATCTCGCGTCAACCCTTAAAACCACGGTCTTGTTCCAGTTCTTCCGGAAAAGAAACTGTTCCAGTTCTTCCAAAAGTGAGCCGTTTCCCGAGGTCAGGCGGATGGAAGGGGCAGACTAGCAGGGAGGGGCCGCAGAGCCCTGACTCCGCCTTCCCTCGCCCCCGACAGCTGACCTGCACTGGGGCAGGGGCGCCTGGTGGGGGTGGGCGCTGGACAGAGCCGTCCAGGAAGAGGGCCAGGACCTGCCCTGACACCGCAGCGGGCGGGTGAGAGGTGGGTCCGCTGCAGAGGCCGGAATGGGCGGGCACGGTCAGCACCATGGACAGCTCCACGCAGCCTCCTGCTGGGGGAGGGGGAAGGGGAGGGGGAAGAGCTGTGGTCCCCTGACCCTGGCCAGCTCCAGCCCCTCCTGATGGCTGTCCTGAGGGACCCCCAGGGGGCTGTCCTGAGTGGGCTCCCAGGGGGCTGTCCTGATGAGCTGCAACTGGAGAGACTGGTCTAAACACCCAGGGTTTCTGGGGAGCGAGCTGGTCCAGTGCCCCCCATGACCGCTGAGGTCTCTGAGGAGCTGGGGGCGGGACTTGGAGCCCTGCCGGTGGGTGGGATGTGCTCACACCCTGTTTCCACTCCCTCCGGCACCCAGACCACCCCAGTCCAGGCGGCGGCTTGTCCGAGATCACGCGCATGTTGGTCGGGCGCTCGGGGGCAATGCCAACGCCAAGGTGGGGTGAGTGATGCGTCTTTAAATTCCCCACCGAACAGTGGTGCCTGCCACCGCTCCTCAAACTGCTCCCGACCCCTCCCTCGGGCGCCCACACGCTCCAGAGAAAGACAGCCCGTCACAGCGGCACCGGGAGCCGACACGGTCGCCGTGGGCGCGGAGGACAGATCCCCGTTCTCTGCCGGAGACAGAGCTCAGGAGGCCGAACCCGACTGGCGTCGCCCGGTGGACAGCGAACTTCCGACAGCTGCCACATCACACACATCACACATCACATCACACACACATCACACACCACACACACCACACACGTCACACACCACACACATCACACACATCACACACCACACACCACACACACATCACACACTGTTGCTCAGGACAGTAGATTTGCATGACCAGAGAACAGTAGTAATGTATTGGACAGCTCCTCTTTTTCAATAGTATTTTGTTCATTTTCAGACAAACTACCAAAAGATGAGTAGTGAGGCTCACACACGCACACGCGCGTGCACGCACACACACACTCCACACCACACACCACACACCACACACCACTCACCGCACACACATCACACACCACACACCATCTCCCACATCACACACACCACTCACCGCACACACATCACACACCACACACCACACACCACAAACATACCCCACACACACATCACACACCACACATCACACACATCCCTTACATACCACACACACACACACACACACACACACACACACACAGTTAGGAGGGGCCTCTGAGACGACATTTAGGTCATGGCATCACTTACGGTTATTACAGAGCAAATTACCTCAATTTAAAGCTTAGGCAGGAACCTCAATGTTGACCCAGAGCCCCAGCTGGGAGCGACGCCGTCTGCCCCATAATTCCTCCTGTTGACTGAGTTGCACGTTGGCAGGTGCGTGGAGCGCGCGTGTGAAAGTTGGATGGGGTGGGCCCCTGAGGCCCCACGTGTCGGACAGAGCCCAACACGTGCAGTGCTGGTGTGTGGACTCCCCCGCCACCCACGGCCCCTGGAGCTTGAGCGAGGCAGTCCTGCAGGTGATGGGCATGGAAGACAATCCAGAGGCAAGTTGTGCCTGAGCAGGGCCCCGGGGGGCCAGGACTCGTGGACTCGCTGTGACCCCTGGTGACCGCCCCTGCCACTCAGGCAGCACGGGACTCCCCCACCCGCTCCTGCCTGGCCTGTCACTGACCCAGGCCTCCGGCTCCTTATCGATCGGCACTTTGCACACATTGGAGGAGCTGATGTGTGTGAAGTGCTTCTCCGGAGTCTGACACATCGCAGGCATGACACTGCCGCTGCCGGCGGAGCCGTGGGCACTGGCATCGCTGCCGTGCCAGCAGCCCGCAGACCTGGCCCGTCCTGGCCCCCAGCCGGACGCAGACCCGAGGATGCCCAGACCGTGTCTCCAAGACAGTTCCACCGAACGGGACCACTGGGCAATGGGGAGAAATCACATCCCAGGACCCACAGCTTCCCGCTGACCTGTGGGCTACAGAGGGTTAAAAAGGTTAAAAGGAAAGAGAGAGCGAGAAGGAGGGAGGGCAAATGCCCATTTCGTGCCTGGAGATGGACGGCCTCAGCGAGGCAGCAGCCCTCAAAGTGCTCTTTGCAAACGAGTTTTCTATTTTAGTTTAATGGCGTCCACTAAACGGAGCCGATGATTAAATATTGAAGCAGGACCCGGAGCCCGCGTTCCATGCGGCCGGTCTGCGCGGGAGGAAGCGGCGGAGCAAATGCACATGTCAGACCCCGAGCCCACGCCTGCGCGGAGCCGCGTCCGATGTCCGTGCAGCTGCCGGGCACATGCACGTTAGTTTGGCCAGAAGGTGAGATTGGGAGGGGCCCGATCAGGACTCCCCACCCCCAGCCCACCCCATCCCACCCCACTCTGCCCGGCCTGTTCTGTTGGGGAAGGTCACGCGTGTTCACTAAGGCTGCACCGTGGTCACTAAGGCTGCACCGTGGTCACTAAGGCTGCGCCGTGGTCACTAAGGCTGCACCGGGTGTAGAGCAGCACAGAGGCCAGCAGAGCAAGTGGCAGACACACTCCAGCCTGGGCTGCCTCCATGGGCGGGTCCCGGGTCCCACAGGTGTCAGGCCCTCGGGGCCAACCGGAGAGGAGTCACTGGCTGGGAGTCACCGCCTCTGGCTCAGACCCTGCACACAATCACTTGGCACCTGGGACGAGAGACGAGGAGGCCAAAGAGCACCAGCCCCTCAACCAGAAAGGCTGCGGCCACTGCTCCCACGGAGAGGCTGGGAGAGCCCCAGTGTCCGTGGGGCCGGGCCCCCGAGGAGTCGGTGCCTCTTTCCAACGGGCTCCGTGCAAAGGGGCGAGGAGTTCCTCCCGCCAGGTACCGGCTGTGCTGTTTGAATTTGTTTGGTTTTGTTTGTTGGGGGCGGGGGGGGAGCAACATTGATGTGATGTGATTGCCTCCCGGATGCACCCCAGTGGGCAGGAGATGGAACCTGCTGCCCAGGCTCACGCCCTTGACCAGGAATTGAACCCGAGGCCCTTGGGTGCACAGGCCGGTGCTCTAGCCACTGAGCAACACAAGCCAGGGCTTGCTTGAGGTGTGTGTTTATCACCTTTTTAAAAAATTGAAAACATAATTCAGAAAAACAAACCAAAACATCCTCACACGAGGTCAAGAGCTGCTGCTCCTTAAGCTGTGTTTGCTGCCCTCCCGGCCTCTGTCCGCGGGTGGAAACAGTCCATTTATCGGGAGAGTTGAGTCCGTCGCTCACACTTTCTCTGATGCCACAACTCAGGGCACCTCAGCCACAGGCCCTGCCGCCGGGCGGAGGCGCTGACTGGGGTGGCGCTGG